GTATGGTTTAGCATTCAGCACTGGCTGCACATATTATTATTATTTTTATTTATAAATCTCCAACATATTCCACAGTGCTTTACAATAATTGTGACAGCAACAATAGGTTGATGATGACCATACTCAAACTAACTTACAATCTAGAGGAGGTGAGATATAAAAGCACAACTGGAAGAACAGCAAGAGAGATGGTAACTAGGTAACTTGGTGGGAAAGTAGCAGAACTGCAAGTTGAGAATGATATGGAGTGTGGATCCACTAATTAAGTCTAGAGAGTAAAATATAGGTTTGAAGAATAACTACAATGTTACAATGGAATGCCATGGGCTATTCTAAAGAAATTAATTAGTAAAATAATCCTACTTAGAATTATACCCAGAATTATACACATCAGTAAACATACATAACATATACCTTATTCAGTACCAGACAAAAGATACAAGGCAATTTATTGTATAAAACCTGCATTTAAGCTTTTGAATGCTTATTACAACCATATTTCTAAAAGGTTTTACTATTATCTAGAGCTTCATATGAACTCCTTCTTAGTCTATCCTGCAGGCTTGTCATATAACCCCAATATTTTATTTAAATAATACCTTCAAAGACATATCAGTAACATTCATAAAAAGTGTTCCAACCTGATAATGGTACTAGTAAAAAGCATTTTCCTTTTCTAGAAAACAATTGCAGCATGCATTCTAATAATTTTAAGTAGCACCTGTTTCCATAAATAGATTATGGATAATGTTTTTGATAAAAACTAAAAAGAAAATACTATAATAATAATAATAATCTGGTGGTGGCTTGATAAAGGTCACAGTGTGCCTGAACCATATTCATTCTTTTAAATATGGTATTTATGAATAGTTCGGGCCACCTACAGGGTCTGGAGCACTGCAATCTCAAAATCTTTTTTGCATATTTTTGGAGTGCAGCCCCTTACATTGAATACTGGATGTATATAATAATGGGTGCAATTATGTCATCTTGGACATGAGCATGCTTAGTGTGTAGTGGGGCAATGATTCCACCCTGAACAGAAGCAAGCCTGATACATCATAGGACAATTAATCCATTTACCATGTACTATACCACCACTGCACTAGCACTTTAATAACATTGACTGAGAGGAGGGAATGAGAACTGTCTCTTTCAGAGAAGTGACAAATTTGATTTAACTATAACACCAATAAGATACTTCAATAGTCTGCTATAAATAAACTAGAAATGCTTTTAGTTGATACAATCCAGCAGGAAAAATATTGATTATTTTATGGAATCAGCAGGGTAGATGTTCTGTTAGATTGCATGTGGCAGAAGAGAATATGATAGTTGATGCTATATCGTAGGAAAGAACGGAGTATGCACTGCTTGATAGCAAGCAACAGAAGATTCTATGCTTGTTGGTACATAGCAGGGAAGATTTTATGCTTGTTTTTGATACATAGCAAAAGATAATTTGTTTGCTTGCATACAAAAGGAGAAGATGTTCAATTGACTGATGATATTAATTAGGGTGAACTTTGCTTCTATTCTTACCATTCTGAGATCAGATAAGATAGGTCACTGATATGATAGTCACCACAAGGAGGTATTAACTTTCATGAAAAAGTGGTCCACAAATAAGACAAATTAGTACAGCTTCATCTACTTGTAAAGTAACTAAATGCTGTACTGCATAGGTAATGGAGAGAGAAAAATTATGTCAGGCCAAATTTAGTGAAATCTCCTCTAGACAAGCAAATCCTGATGGATTTACTCCACTTTAAAAATTACAGATGTAGATGTATGTAGTTTAATTACATTTAAATAGTAGTGACAGAAAGCAACTGCAGGAAGAATAGTCTGGCTGGTTTGACATTTTACGGTGGCATGATTATTACATCGTTACATAGTTTCATAGCTGAAAACAAACATTGGTCCATCAAGTTCAGCCTCACATTTGTTTTTGCAATTGATCCAAAAGAAGGCAAGAAACCCTGTCCGAAGCACTTCCAATTTTGCAACAAAGTAGAACAAAACTCCTTATTGACCCCAAAATGGCAGTCAGATGTCTCCTTGGATCAAGCATGTATTATCACACTAAATAAAAATTATATCCCTGTATATTATGTTTGTGTAATTGTATTTCCAATAGGAATGTGCATGGGCAAAGAATTTGGTTCGGTTCAGAAATTCGGGTAAGAAAAATAAATGTGTCTGCTTCGGCCAGTCAGACCAATGCCATTCAGTTCGGCACTTCCGAAATTCAGGACTTTGGCAATTTGGACTCTAACAATATCCTTAAACCCTAACCGTAAACCCTAACCCACTTTGGAATTTCAGCAATTCTGAACTTCTGTAATTATGGACTTCAGCAATTCGGAACTTCAGCAATTCGGTTCGGCACTTTGGAAATTCGGCAGTTGAGCAATTCAGAAATCTGTCAATTTGGACATTGGTAAGCATCCGAATGTCCGAATTGCTAAAAATTTGTCCGAATTGCACATGTCTAATATCCAATTGCTGTTTATTTAGCAGACATTAAGCAGTTAGAGTAGGACCTGCCAAATATGGGGTACATTGGCGTTGTGGCAGGCTTATGCAATGTATGACCCTTTAATGTAACTAAATTCCCATAGTTTTTCACATATAGTACTTAGTTATGTCTCCTCTTATTTTGCCAATTATATCTTGTCTTGTTTTATTTTGTATTCTCAGTCCATGTACAGTCCTGTCCTGCCCATGTTCTGTTAAACCCTTAAGGACACATGACATGTGTGACATGTCATGATTCCCTTTTATTCCAGAAGTTTGGTCCTTAAGGGGTTAATGTTTCCCTTATGTATTCTGTACATGTTCTGGGTTTAGCTTCCTGTCCTTCTCTAGTTCTGGGTTCTACTAGTTCTGTCTTGTTTTCATGTTTGGTTCATATTCAGCTCCTTGGAGGTCTGCTTATTTCCAAGCTCCTAGTTCCTGGGATCCGCTGAAGCTGCATCAGGGTCCTGGTATGTGGCCAAACAAATGCTGGTTCTCAACACCAGGGGGCGTGCGGTTACCCATTGTGCTAATCCACTTTCACACTGTGACTCCTACTTTCAACATCAGGCATACTGGGTCCCGGTCACCGGGCCGCCACCCTAACAGAAGCAAGGTGAAAGGTCAGTGTAGGACCCGCCTATGGGGGTCTGCCATTCCTTCCAATGGCCACTGGAGTAACTAAAGGACCTCCAATTTTTTAAATATACGTAGGGATTCAGGAGAGAGCGCAGGTAACTTTTTCTTTGGTTTTTACTGTATGTAAGGTGGCTGACGTGTACTGTGGTCGTTGATGCCGCCCAGGAGTGATGGGAGTGAGCGCAGGACTTTTAATTTAATTTAATTTGCCATTTGAGTGTTTAGTCCCAAAATCTATTAAATTAAAATCTGACTCTCTACATGGCTGGTTACTGGTCAGTGGTCATTTTGATACAAAAGCCATGCTTTAAAAAGCTTGGTTTCTTGAAATGACTATGAAATTACTTTGACATTTTCAAAGTCCAAGATTGAGGACTGTATGTAGACCCACCTAAGGGCAAGGTATTTTTGCTTTTGTTTGTTCTCATTATTCTCTTGCACCTTGTGAATTTGCTCTCACTAAGATCAAATGGTAATCCAGATGTGGTCCCTGTGCCTAGAGGATAATTACCAATACATTGCTGATGAGGCATTAAATCCTGGGACAGAGGCTTGAACTCTGGCCCAGATAAAAAAAAAAATCTAAATATGTGCCCATTGCTGGCATATTGGTGCCCTTATATTAGTAATAATGGGTGGGACCTATTGTTCCCTCCCCCACCAACCTTCCATGGGCAGCGGAGACCCTAACAAGTTATAATACTGGGAGAGGATGCCATTACCACCCCCCAAAATAATAGTATGCCACCTCACCACCAGGGTGACAAAGACTTCCTAATCCCGTAGGCACATCCCTAAAATAAAGTCCCCACCTACTCCCCTCACCCTAATAATAGTGAGAAGAGTGCCAATAAAACTACAATGTCCTAAAAAAAACATCTTCACCCATTGACTGCTCATTGCAGAATGGCATCTAATAGTGGGGAAAGCCCTTTTATAGGCTGTTCCATATTACTGCATGTTACGGCAGCAACTGCATTGTGAGAAGATTATTTTTTAATTACTGTGCAGTTATGATTTTACGTTGTTGTTTTTTTGTTAATTGAAAAAATATTTTTTTAGAAGTTTGTGTCCTACTCCACACTATTATTAGGGTGAGGCAGGCCCGGACTGGCCATCGGGCACACCGGGCAAATGCCCGGTGGGCCGCGGTGTCCGTGGGGCCGAGGCCGGCATGGGAGGTCCCAGGATCTCCTCTGCCGGTCTATGCAGGGCCGGCACTCTCCTAGCGCCGGCCCCGCTGTTTTCCACGACGGGCCGGTGGGGAGATCAAGGATCTCCCTGACCGGCCCACATGCGGCCGCCGGCGGGGAGAGAGGGAGGGAGACAGCCAGCCAGGCTGGAGAGAGGACCCGGCGGAGCTCTAATTTGCAGCTCCGCCGGGTTCCTCTCGCGAGATCCGGCGCGTTGCCATGGCAACGACCGGATCTCGCGAGAGTGAACTCTAGCCTCACAGGCTATGCTGGCTAGAGTTCACTCACCCACGAGGACCACCAGGGAACAGCTCCACCCCGCCTGCCAGCGTGCCGGACCCCCCCTCCCAGGCTAAAGGTAAGAAGGGAGGGGGGGGGAATAATTACTGTTTTTTTGTTTTGTTTTTTTTTAAATTTTATTTACCCCCCCCTACACACACACACAATAACATTTATACAGCACTCTCACACCCATCACACACAGCACTGTCACACCCATCACACACAGCACTCTCACACCCTGCACTCTCACACCCATCACACACAGCACTCTCACACCCATCACACACAACACTCTCTCACACAGCACTCTCACACCCATCACACTCACAGCACTCTCACACACACACAGCACTCTCTCACACGGCACTCTCACACCCAGCACTCTCACACCCATCACACACAGCACTCTCTCACACAGCACTCACACCATCACACTCACAGCACTCTCACAGAGCACTCTCACACACACACAGCACTCTCTCACAGCACTCTCACACCCATCACACTCACAGCACTCTCACAGAGCACTCTCTCACACACATCTCACACAGCACTCTCACACACGGCACTCTCACACCCATCACTCACACACGGCACTCTCACACGGCACTCTCACACATACCGCACCCCTCTCACACACACCGCACCCCTCACACACACACCGCACCCTTACACACACACATACTGCACCCCTCACATACACACAGAACCCCCCCAACACACTGCACCACACACATACACAATACTTCCAAATATATATATACTGCACACACACACACACACACTACACTCTTAAAGGACCACTCTAGCCACCCAGACCACTTCTGCTTAATGAAGTGCTCTTGGTGCCAGGTCCTTCTAGGGTTAACCCATTGTTTTATAAACATAGCAGTTTATCAATGGGTTAAGCCTTCCCCCAAAGCCTCTAGCAGCTGTCTCATTGACAGCCGCTAGAGGCGCTTCCGTGCTTTTCACTGTGAAAATCACAGTGAGAGCACGCAAGCGTCCATAGGAAAGCATTATAAATGCTTTCCTATGCGACTGGCTGAATGCGCGCAGCTCTTGCCACGCGTGCGCATTCAGCCGACGGGCGGATCGGAGGAGGAGAGCTCCCCGCCCGGCGCTGGAAAAAGGTAAGTTTTAACCCCTTTCCAGAGCCGGGCGGGAGGGGGTCCCTGAGCCACATATGCATCACATTACACCACAAACACAACACAACTAAAACCGACCTTATTACACAATACCACACCACGACCAGCTCACTCTACACACATGCAATACCACAAGCAGGCTCCAAACACATGCACAATACTCTTTCCTGGCCTTTTGTCTCCTGGTATCCATTTATAGAGACACCAGAGACAAGTTGCAAGGAAACACAGTGCAAGCATGTTATTAAATTTGCTTGCACTGTGCAGAACAAATACAGGACTTTTTTCTCATGCTAGAGCTCTTCAGCAGAGCTCTGCGCATGGTCTGCCCTGGAAGAGCATTGAACCAACATGCTCACTTTGAGAGGAGGCGTGTTTGTCATTGGTGATGACAAAACACACCTCCTCTGCCCCGCCCCCTTTTTAGTGGGCCGCTGTGTTAAAAAAAATGCCCGGGCCGAATTTTTCTCCCAGTCCGGCCCTGGGGTGAGGGGGTATGTAGGGACTTTCTTTTAGTGGTGTGGCTAGGGTATTGGGGACCCAGAGACACCCAGGAGAAATAGGTGGCTAACTATTATTGTGGGGGTGTGGCATGTCTTTTAGACCCCATAGGATTTGTATTTTTGTTATATATTTTTATTTTTATTTTCACTTTTTTAATGTGGTAGCTGGCCAGCAAGCACCATATAATAAACTCTTGCAGTGCCAAGCATTTTTAATTACTTGCCCAGTGGTTTCTGGCGATACCAGCTGGCAAATAGTTCTTCAACTTATCAATTCATTTGAAAAAGGCAAGCGTACAAAAGTGAAATCTGTTTATCATCAGCAGACATTCTACCGTTGATAAATATGCAATTCCGTTGATGTAAATTTGTTCAAATGTGAAAATCACAGATTTTTCCAAACACATCTGAATGAATGTTGTAGAATTGGTTGGACTGACTGAAACCTGACCGCATTTGGCTTTAATAAATCTGTGAATTGTGGTCGAAATTTGGTCATGTTTAATGACTAACCCTGAAAGAATTCATCAACTCAAATATACAGAACATGACAAGTGAGCTTACACTTTAATGGCCATTTTATTTTTAATGAAACTCTTTACATTTTTAAATGTGCATAAAGATTTGGAATTGTTTGCAGTAACTTTGTTTTCATTCTAAACCTGTTATCATGATGCTTTTTTTCAAATGTGACTTAAAAATCACTATAACAATGTGAAATATTTCACATTTCATGATACCTAATAAAGTATGTAAGAAGACTTTCCCAAGCCCCGAATAACTGTGAGTGCTAGACATGATTAATATTATATGTATTTAGCTTGAAGCCCTAAAATTTCTTAATGAAGACTACTTTAAAAAAATGCTAACCTTGCGTGTACTAGTTCTGAAATTCAATGTTTGAACAATATTGATATACAGTTGCAAGAAAAAGCATGTGAACCCTTTGGAATGATATGGATTTCTGCACAAATTGGTCATAAAATGTGATCTGATCATCATCTAAGTTACAACTAGTGATGTCGCGAACCCGAAATTTTCGGTTCGCGAACGGCGAACGCGAACTTCCGCAAATGTTCGCGAACCGGCGAACCGGGCGAACCGCCATAGACTTCAATGGGCAGGCGAATTTTAAAACACACAGGGACTCTTTCTGGCCACAATAGTGATGGAAAAGTTGTTTCAAGGGACTAACACCTGGACTGTGGCATGCCGGAGGGGGATCCATGGCAAAACTCCCATGGAAAATTACACAGTTGATACAGAGTCTGGTTTTAATCCATAAGGGCAGAAATCACCTAACATTCCTAAATCACAATGAATATGGATTGACACCTGACATATGACATATTGACACCTTGACATATGGATTGACACCTGTCCTCAGAGCCCCTGATGCACACGGACACAGAGCAGAATAGAGACTGGTCCCCCTACATAGAGTCACTTGGCAGATATGGATTGACACCTGTCCTAAGGATCCCTGATACACACTGACACAGAGCAGAATAGGGACTGTTCCCCCTGCATAGGGTCACTTGGCAGATATGGATTGATACCTTGTTACAAACTGCTATTTGTAACGGGCCCTTTAAATGGCAAATTGCCCTGCTTCCCTGGGTTGTGGAGAAGCCTATTTGCCAGCCTCCTCCCACATGACTATGGCCCCTGGGAGATTGTGAAAATGTATGCACTTTTATTTGGTGTGTATGGCCCTTTAAGACTGTCGGTGGGCATATTGGGGCTTATGGACTCTTTATGTGACTGGTGCTGGCCCTTTAAACACCTTTTTGGGACATCAGGAAGATTGGGACACTGCCCCTTTAAGGCCGTGTCCCCAGACTTGTTGGGGACACGGCCCCTTTAAGACGGTGTCCCCTGTGTCCCCAGACCTGGTGCAAACCCTTTGTGCCTGCCTTGCTATTTCCCACTTGGTTCAGTAAATGGAAATTATTTCAGCTGCAGAGACTAAGTCCCATTCGGCGATGGGACTTAGTCTTTTTTTCAGCCGTTTTTTTCAGCCTTATTTCAGCTGCCAAATCTATGGAACTGTTTTGGGCAGGAAAATGTGCTTGCAGTCGGTCATAAAGGGACCTCCAGCTAACTTTTTAACCCCTGGATGGATTTGGCTGATTTTTGGTTATGTTTATGTTTTAAGTGTGCTGATTCCAAACATGTAATTATGAAGATGGGATGTGTAGTTTTAAAGTTACAGGGTATGGCTAAAAACTGTATTTTTACTGCCTGTGTTTAATTATGTTAATCTCTTCCCAAACGTCATTTCGTTCAAAGTGGAGAGAATGTTAAAAAAATATATTTTTGTTCGAGTGTGAGAAATGCTTTTCAGCCGCTTCTAATCTTAAGCATCATTTGAGGAGC